AAATAATTTTCAGGATATATGTGCCATATGCACTTGTTAAGTTCATTTTGGAGTAAGCATGGTTCGTAAATAGGGCACGAGTGTCGACATGCATATCCTTTGTCAGTGAGAACACAGTGTTTAAGGGAATAGGTCATATTATCTTTGGGGAAAATATAGTCCCCTGTATATGTGGGTGCCCACCAGGTTAAATTCCTGGCAAAGAAATCATAAACTGGTACTGGTAATGTGTTAAATTGACAAGCTAATTTAACATCCTTTGATGATGTATGATATAGTGTAAAATAGCATGAGCATGAAAAATGTGAAACATTACCAGTTAGCCATTCATTGCATTTAGTGGATTGGGGTTTTAGAAGTAACCATTCATTATCTGTGAGGTTAAGCATCCCTATAATCTTCTCTAGTTTAGGAATCATTAGTGTGTCTTCTAATGCCAATCTTTTTTGTTGCATCCATAAATACCAGATGGCACAAGTACTCCAGTTACTGAGACCTGTAGTGAATTTCATAGTTGCAACAGTTAAATTACCTAAATAGTTATACATTGATTTATCTAAATCCAGTCCTGTAACCTGTGATTTAACAACAGTTGGAGCCCAGTTTGCAGTACCGTGGAAACCAGTCCCTATATGCATGCTGGCTGTGTTTAACTTATTCTTGAGGGTCTCCATGTCTATACTATTTAGTATACCCATAGTGGTTCCAGCACCTCCTAACAGTGTGTCATACCATTCCCTTTTCTGCCTTTTGTTTGCTGTGTTACATAATGTTACAACAGGAGTAGTGATTTTTAATGACACATGTACAGCTTGTAAAAAGGCAGTTGTATTAACACATGTGGACGGAATAGGTGTGTGTGTGTCGTGGTTGACTTTTGGTTCTATGGTAGAGGATAAAGGACAGTAATAAGGTGTAAAAATATAAGGTAGTGTACAGTTCTCAATCGCAGTGTCGTTCATAATGACTAACATTTGTCCCCTTTTCCAATTAATGGTACCAGTTGTATAATCATTATTAAAAATAATAAGGCCTGTCTGTTTACATTGATATGCAACCTTACTAATTTTCTTATAATATATATCCCAAACTTGTTTAGGTGTTTTTTTCTTACCATCAGAACTTATATTAAATAAGGTGGCACAGATGCTAGTGTAATTAGCAACCTTAACTGTGCACATTTCTGCGTTATAAGATCTAACAATTTTCTGTGAACCTTCAAACAAACATAATGCATCGGTTTCATTAGCTGTGGACACATTCCATATGAGTAACTGGTACTTATAAGGGTTATTTATCCAGTTCATCCATATGTGATCAGTCAATGAGTGATTGCAAATTACATGCTGATAGATAGATGGTGGAGAAAGGTTCTTGAGGGAGCGTGTGTGACGAATGCTAGATGAGGGGCTAAGGCCTAATTGGGCTGGGGGTATTGAAGAATTGTTCATCATGTCAGAGTCTTTTCTCCAGAAACAAACAGGTTTCAAACTTCCCATTGACTTGTACTCATAATGGCATTCAAGGAACAATATCACAGGGAGTATAACAACTCCAGAAAGCATAGCGAAAAACATAATCTTGGTCTCAGGTTCGTATGATCCTCTCAATCTACGATATGGTGTGAAAGCCATGATGCTTCGCTAAGGGAAAATTCTTCTCTTTCCGAGTGAAGAGTGGTGTTGTCTTCCTTGGTTCCCCTCTTTGGACACAGCTTCACTCGGGATGCGTGAATCCAGATGTCGTGGGAATCTGTGAGGACAGCGGTTCTGGTTACAGCAATAACAGTAACAGGTGGTCCGAAAGGGTATCCTCCTTTCTTGGTCCTGTTCAGCTGACGGATATACACCTTGTCACCGGGCTGATATGGATGAGTAGGTTCCAGTGAAGGTAAGGGAAACTGCGAAGAAACATTGCCATATATACCATTCAGTTTTATCAACAATTCCTGTACATATTGTTCTTGTATTAGCTGTAAATCCCCAGACATTATAACAAGTGGTTCCCTGGCCCAGGGTGTGGGAAAAGGTCGTCCCATCAGAATCTCAAATGGAGATAATTTAGTCACCTTGTGGGGAGTCATTCTTATCTCAGCTAAAATAGCTTAATGGTCCTATTCATCCTTTCAACTACCCCTGAACTCTCTGGATGATAGGGTATATGAAACTTCCAGGTAACTTGCAAGAATTTGGCAAGTTCCTGGGTAACCTTACTAGCAAAAGCCAGGCCATTATCAGAGTTAATCTGCAGAGGGCAGCCATACCTGGGAATAATTTCAGTAGCAAGAATCTTCAGTACAGTCCTAGATGTCACAAAGGCCTCAGGCCATCTACTAAACTGATCAACTATGACCAGTAAGTATTGCTGTTTCTTACCAATTTTGGGTACATGAGTAAAATCAATCTGTAAGTGTGTAAAAAGAGCAGGTGGAGGGGGCAAATGTTCGTGCTGTGATTTGTGTGGAATATTCGGATGTGTTCTCATACATGCTTCACACGATCTTACAGAAGACTGTACATGCTGCCTGAGATTCCTAATATAAAATGAATTCATGAGGAACTGGATGGTGCTTGATATGCTTTTGTGACCAGGACCATGTGCCTGACTGATGAAAATAAAACAGCTGGCTTCAGGTATGCCTATCCTCCCCTCTTTAGAGAAAAGATAATTCTGGTCTTTTTCTGAACCTTGTTTAATCCAAAAATCAAAGTCAGATTGCGTTGCAAAGGCTTGGAGCTGCAAAAGCAAACTGTCAGTAGGGCATGTGGGAGGTGTGAGCATAGCAGGAAACATTTCATAGTAAACTTCAACTTCAAACTGCAACTTCTTTTGCCACTTTGTCAGCCCAGGCATTACCTCTGGAAATGTCGTCACTACCCAGAGTCTGTGCCTTCAGATGGGAGTAGGATAGCATCTAGGAGTGATTGGATGAGATTTGTGTGTGAAATGGCCTTTCCATTGGCTCCTACAAAGCCTCTTTGTTTCCAAATCACACCAAAATCATGCACTACCCCATGAGCATATCGTGAGTCTGTGTAAATGTTCACTCACTGTCCTGAGAAAAGCTGACAGGCACGTGTGAGAGCAATGAGTTCTGCAGCTTGTGCAGACGGCTGGAAAATAGTGTCAGCTTCAATGATTTTATCAGGTAACTGTACCACGGCATAGCCTGTGAGGTATGTACCATCATTTGGTCTGGAGCAAGAGCCATCCACAAAGACAGTGGTCACATCTGGGCCACTGAGTGCTGTGGAGGAGAGGTCTGCTCTGGGAGATGTAGCAATATGTATTTGTTCAATGCAATTATGAGGCTCAGATGGTATAGACACAGAGTCAGATGCAGAAGTGAGAATAGCATGCAAAACAGACATAGGACCAGAATTAACAGGACTATAAACAATAGACAGATTCTGGGTATTAAGAAGAATAATCTCATAACCACTTAAGCGCTGGTCTGTCATGTGTTGTGTGGTGAGATTTTTTTATAACCTGGTGACTGGTATGGAGTATTGTAGGATGCCCTAGTGTGATAGTAGTAGCAGTCTCAACAGCCATTGCACATGCTGCCAATGCTCTGAGACACGCCGGCATACCCTGTACCGGAGCTGGAACTACTTTGGAAAAGAATGCTATGGGACGCATACCGCCTCCGTGCTCTTGTGCACAGACCACAGCCATGGTTTTACAGTTGTCCCGAGCATACAAATTAAATGGTTTACAATACACAGGTAGTCCTAAAGCTGGGGCTTTAACAATAGCAACTTTGAGGGCAATATGCGCAGCTAGCATGTCTGGTGACCAGCAGACATTTTGAGGGGTGTCAGAACGTACAGCCTCCCTTAGGATTGAGTCATAATGGGAGCATTCAGGGATCCATTGGCGGCAGTAATTAATCATGCTGAGGACGGTGAGCAACTCCTTCCGAGTAGTGGGTTTAGAAATCCTCTGAATGACCTCAATACGTTTTGGACTCAATTGTCTGGTGCCTGAAGCCAGAACAAAACCTAAGTAATCAACCTTTGATTTACACAATTGCATTTTGTGTTTTGCAACCTTGTGACCCACAATTCCTAAGTGTTTGAGCAAACTGACAGTATCCACAGTGCTTGCCTCATAGCTAGGGCTACATAACAACAAGTCATCAACATATTGCAAAAGGACGGAACCATGACTGGTGGTCCATGTTTTTATAGTATGTTGGAGTACCAGCGAATAAACGGCTGGGGAATCCACATAGCCTTGGGGTAAACGTGTCCAGGTATACTGACAGCCTTCAAAAGTAAAAGTCATAAGTAGCTGTGTCTCTTGATCAATAGGTATAGAAAAAAATGCATTACTTAAATCAATGACAGTGAAGCAAGTGGCATCATATGGAATGGTCAGTGGTACCTGTGAATGGCCCTAGTGCAGTTTGGGTTTGCTGGAGCGAGGGGGGAGGAGGAAGTGCTGGCCAGTGGTGTTGGGAGTGGGCCTGGTGTTGTTCTTGCCTACCGGGCGTATTTTGAGAATTGTGGGGTTGTTGGGGCTGCTGGGGTTTCCTGGGGTGTGGACACTCATTCCTCAAGTGGCCATGCTGGCCACAGTTGAAACAAGTGTTCCTGTCTATTCCTCCTTGGTTACCCCTGCCCCTATAACCCTGATTTCCCTGTCTCCAGACCCTCTTTGACCACCCCTTCCACAGGCTCTATGTGCTCCATCCCATCCTCTCTCTCGGGCCTGTGTAGGTGGACAGTGTTGCAATCCCTGAGCATAATAAGCAACCTTACTTCCTGAATCTTTTCTTAAATCAAAACAACCTGCATTTTCCTTCTCTATAACCTTGGTAAGAAAATCTGAGCCACCCAAATTGGCCCAGTCTGAAATTAACTGTTTCACAAGCAAAGAATACTGTGGCAACATATTACCAAGGCATGACTGTATTTTAAGAAGATCCATATTGTCTCCAGACTTCAAACCTGCCTCATCCTTCCAACACTTGTAAAATCTCTTTACAAACATACCAATCTCTTCCTTTGCACCTTGCTTACATGCCAAAGCAGTGGATATAGACTGCTTATTCTTCCATAATCTCAACATTTCAGCTTCCACCTCATCCGACATTTTAGCACATCCTGCTGAAGTACTAAGCTCATAAACACCATCACTGCCAGCCACTCCAACTCCAGTACCGTTGTCTGTCTCACTGATAGAGGGTACATTAGACCAATCCCAACCAGAATCTGAGTCATACCCTAATATTCCATTTATAATTAACTGTATGTCTATCTGTGTCATGTTCTGTCCTAAACACATTCTTTTCAGATACATTAGGTATGCAGAGGGATTAGTACGAGGGTTTGGGGCACCTTGAATAATGTCCTTGAGTATTTCGGGATTAATAGGTTTCATTATTAACTGATTACCAACAGTCATAAACGGGGCAGTAAGATCAGCACCTTCTAATTCTGGCATCTCTACATCATCATCACCTTGCTTATGTACATATGATTTTAACAACTTGGCACTTTTAAGTTTAACTCCTGTTTGTACTGTTAATTTAATTGTACCGGGAGGTGGCGGTGGGTATTCTATATCAGAATCTGGTGTAGATGAGGATTCCTGTAATTGCTGTGATTGTGAATTAACAGCTGCAGCAATAGAAATATCTTCTATATCATCCTCTGAGGGGGCATTAGGTACAGCAGGATACATTGCTTTATAGGGAGGTGGGGGTTGTGGTTGGGCATGGCCAGGGGCTGACTGGGTAGGGGGCACAATTGGTGGTGGATATAGATTCTCAGGAGGGGCTTCTATAGGAAAGCGGATAGTATTACTGTCAACAGTTCCCGTTCTCTTAGCCAGGTGTTTCTTAGCTCCCATTAAAACCTTTCCTGTTACACTACAAGGAAACCAATGAGGGGCTATCTGCAACCAATTTTCACCTCCTGCTTTCATATATTCCTTATCCCAATCTGGATCAGGACCATACCATGGCCATGACTTCCTATCTCCCAAACACAATCCTCGAATCATATTCATATGGAAATCATCATTAGCCCCACACCTGGGAAAAGGATCAGATGACTTCATAGTCTCTGTCCATCCTGCTAAATTTGACACAAAGGGGATTGTAAGAAATCCTCCTTGTGCTCCTATTCTAGTAACATAATTTAGACATGACTCCCCTGGGTGGGGTAAAGTGTAAGAAATAGACTGATTATTTCCCATATTTCTGGCTCAGGGTAGAGACACTACCTACTTACCAATAGTGTGTCTCTACTTAACAAGCAAAATAAACACAAAGCAGACACAGGGTGACCAAAGGAACGAGAAGTTTGGGTTATTCTAGATCTATAAACCGTGTTCCCTAGAACACCTATAGTCTTAATAAACGGAGACTCCTTTATAGTCTCAAAACCTGTATCTACCTGAGATACCCTGTATCTATCTTAGATACTAACCTGGGTTACCAAGAACCCTATATATATTTTGACCAAATGTCTAATAAACCGGAGACCTATTTACAGTCTCAATATAACTAAAGTCCTTATACCTTTCCTTTCTACTGGATACAGACTTACTAAACCAAAGGGGGTCATAGACAATTAGCGTCAATAAGACACAAAAAGGCTACTCACCCAATGGTCCTGCTGATCCCACTTCTAGACACCAAGCTGAAAGGGTAAATGCTGTTCTGGACTCAACTACCCTCGATTCTCGATCCTCCTGTCACCACATCAATTGATGGGAGTTCTTGTTAACAAATTAAGACACAGACACGAAAGAGTGCTTAACAAGTTCTCAATGAGTATATTTTCAGGGCTAGCATTTATACACAGTTTGTCACGCAAGCAGTGAGATTTATCATTTCCTTATAGTTAATAGTACATACTTGTCTGACATTAAAAAGATAAGCATTTGAATAAAGACGAGACAGGAACATCCTAAGGTCAAGCAAGATCATACATCCTGTAGACGAAAGACCTTGGTACAAAATACATCTGCCAAAGTCAGCATAATTATTTCAAACATTATTTTAAAGCTTATAAAGCAAAAAGAGTTAAACATTTCATGTCCTTACAATATGGAGTACAGATAGAAGCCTACAGTTTAAACAGTTTAGGCTGTCAGTTTTTTGCTGCTCAAATTCGGCCTGCAGCTGTTCATCTGTCTCTATGGCTGGTTAGTATGTTTTCCCTTCTGAGGTGAGTGAATTAGTAATTTAAATTAAAAACTAGCATAGGCACCTGGGTTTCTGTTCTTTCAATTCATCCCAGTTGCTTACATTAGGCTTCCTTCTAACAAATAGGTCACATTTAGGAGGTTTGTGTGGTGAGCATTTAGGTAAGTTTATAAATGCAATGATGCATTAATGCATGTTCCAAAAGAGTGCGGATAATGCAAGGATGCATGTTCCAAAAGAATGCTGATATTGCAATGATGCATTGTGCAAAAGAAAGCGGTTAATGTTAGGATGCATGTTGCAAAATAGTGCTGATAAAGATATCCTGGCTGTATAAAGTCTGCCTGAACACCACAGTCGTGAACACAGTGAAGTCACACGGTAAGAGAATGCTTTCCTAATTGAATAATTGAATTATACAAATGTATATGTTACGAGTTTTAAAACCTGATGTATGGTCCATGCAGACACTTGTTCCTATCAATCATGTGGCAATGATTGTTGTTATCTATGCTTTGTAGCACATAAGCAGGCCTTTTCAGAGTGGAAATTAATATATTATTTGGATCTTCCTGCTTCTCTAAATCAGCATATGAGATCAAGATATCCTCTGAATGAATTGATGCATGTGTTACTGATATCTCTGTATATGAGCTGGTACAAGGAACATAATCTCAGTGTAAAGCACAGCCTCAATGTGTACACGTTCTATGTATGAGTTGGTCTGAACATTCATCCTCAGTATATGTGTCCACTATATGCTCTATGTATGAGTTACTATGAGGACACTGCTTAAGCATATGTGTCCACTATATGAACCCTCAGGGCCCCCAGGAAAAAAATAAACCAAGGGCACCCTTCAAGGCCCCACCCATGTTCTGCCTCAAGCTCCACCCTTATCCCGCATCCATGCCCCACCCCCAGCCACACTCTACACAATCTTTAGACACAAGGAACAAAAGTGCAATAAGTTATAAGTAAATTTGCAATATAAATAAAGAATGCAAAAAACCAAACTGTGCAAATAAATAACAAATGCACAAGCCAAGACAAGTGCCTTACAAATGATAAACAGACAAACTAAAGAGTTGCGTACAAATTGTTGTGGACAGAATGTGCTTTAGTAAAATGTCTATTTACTCTGTGCATCTGTGCTCATTATTCCACTGTGTTAACTGTGCTGAAGTAACTGCTTCCCCTCCAACCCCTCCCTCCCACTGTGTTCAGTAACTGCTCCCCTCCTAAACTCCCCCTTCCCACTGTTGAGTAGCTTCACCCCTGGAGTGCTTGAGCAAGAGATTAGCTGGAATGTAGGGAGGGAGAACTGCATGATGAGCAGTGACTTGTCCACACCCCTGTAAGGCTGTGCATTTAGATGAACCCATAACACCCTAACCAATTGTTGATGTATTTTTCTCCTGGTATCTATAGGTAGCCAAGCCCTTGATGTATTTCTGCTTTATAGGGAATACGGCCTGGTTGTATTCCTCAAATTTTCATTAACATGAAACTTGTGTCTGGTGTGAATTACTTTTGGGGCGTGCTGCATAAGACGGAGGCCGGGACCTACAGACTACTGTATAGTTCAGAGGAACTGGGTAATTGCTTATTTTGTTGTTGGAGGGAACAGGTTAATTGCTGATTTAGGAAAGGAACAGAGACTACTGATTCAATTATTGTTATGCTTGATACGTTATTTTCTTTGTTCCTTCATTATGGTGGTTGCTTAAGTTTGAGTTCGTTAGCGTGTGCTTGCATCGTGTGTAGCATGGTTTATCTTTGTATATTAGAGGTTTGTGATTTAATTACATCTGTATATTATTGCCTTCACCTGCATTTTATATATTTTGTTTGCAATACATGTAACATACAGAGTGGCTGTCCTTCTGTAACACGCTCTTTTTACTTTACAGCACTCACATGGTAGGTGCAAAACTACTTTCTGTGTTTCTCTCTCTCCCCCTCAGCTTACTTCCCTCGCCCTCTCCCTTACGTGTGCTCGGCTCTCTTTGTAGCGGTATTGGTTAAGGGGAGAAATGGAGTAATAAGCCTGCAGCAGCAGAGGCTGGCAAACCTGTGTACCGATTGAGGAATGTGTTCGCTCAGCAATGTAGCGTTAAAGGACCACTATAGTGCAGGAAAACATACTCGACACGGCGGTATATCAAATAACCTGGCCCACCCTCAGGGACCCCCCTCCCGCCCGGCTCACCAAGGAGGGGAAAGGGGTTTACAAACTTACCTTTTCCAGCGCTGGGCGGGGAGCTCTCCTCCTTCTCTCCTCCTCGTTCCTCCTCCTGGGCTGAATGCGCACGCGCGGCAAGAGCTGCGCGCGCATTCAGCCCGTCGCATAGGAAAGCATTTACAATGCTTTCCTATGGACGCTTGCGTGCTCTCACTGTGAAAATCACAGTGAGAAGCACGCAAGCGCCTCTAGTGGCTGTCAATGAGACAGCCACTAGAGGATTAGGGGGAAGGCTTAACCCATTCATAAAGATAGCAGTTTCTCTGAAACTGCTATGTTTATAAAAAAATGGGTTAACCCTAGAAGGACCTGGCACCCAGACCACTTCATTAAGCTGAAGTGGTCTGGGTGCCTAGAGTGGTCCTTTAATATTAATATGTCTTCGAGCTGCTGCTAAAAGTAAAAAAAGAAAAAGAAAAAAAAAAGGGATTATTTCTGAACAGTATCCTAGTTAAAAACTTCTGTGTAATAGTGTGTATATTGTTAAACAAGAGGATTGTACTATGTTAGAGATAGAGGCTGAAATTACGGAGTAATGGGTTGTAAAGAGGATACTAGAATTTAGAATAATATACAATGTGGAATACGACTATAGGAGAAGTTGGTTGAATTTAGTGAGGCAATAGAATGTTTATTTGAATTTTACTTTGATAAATGTAGAGCTTGTATGAATCTTGGGAGCATTGTAAATGAGAATGGGGTATACAGACTTTTAGTTGTGCAAGCTTGGGTGTGAAAAGGCGATGGGAGATGGATTGTATTAATCTATACCAGTGATGGCAAACCTTTTTGAGCCCGAGTGCCCAAACCATAATACATGCCAATTTTTTCCCTTCAAAGTGCCAAAACGGCATTTAAACCTTAATACTGAGGTTTAAGTTTAGAAAAAACAACTCATACAGTTGTCCGAACTAATTAACATCTCTGTGTGTGTATTAAGCAGTTTGTGTGTGTGCTCGGCAGTCTGTCTGTATGTGTATTTAGCAGTCTGTCTGTGTACTTAGCAGTCTGTCTGTATTTAGCAGACTGCTGAATACACACACAGACTGCTGAGTACACAGTCTGCTGAATACACACACAGACTGCTAAATGCACACGCACACACACACACAGACTGCTGAGTGTACACACACAGACAGACTGCTGAGTGTACACACACAGACAGACTGCTGAGTGTACACACACTGCATTGAGGGGTACAGTGTATGTGTTTGTGGGTGGAGTGATGTGTGTGGGTGGGGTGTTTGTGTGTGGGGTGGTGTGTTTGTGTGTGTCTTTTTGTGGGGTGATATGTGTAGGGCAGGGGTGCTGTGTGTATGTCGTCCCCACTCTCCCCCCCCCCTGTTTTCTTTCCCCCCATCCCTCCCTCATTTTTTTCTCCCATCCCACACTCAGTTTTCTCCCCCCATCTCTCCCTCAGTCTCCTTCTCCCTCCCCCATCTCTCCCTCAGTCTCCTTCTCCCTCCCCATCTCTCCCTCAGTCTCCTTCTCCCTCCATCTC